ACTAGTACCATAGTAGCAATCCAGAAAATTGCTAACCCTAATAAATCATGGGAGTTTCGGCAAATCAATACCTTGTCCGGCCTTGAAAAAATCCTGGAAACTATTGTATATAAACAATTAATTGAATATCTAGAAAAAACTAATCTATTGTCTTACCAGTCTGGTTTTAGGTCAAATCATTCACGTGAGTCGGCAGTACAACTCACAAGTCACAATTATAAAATGGAAAAAAAGTGTAGATATGGGAGAATATGTTGAGAATATGTGGTTGTTTTCTTGGATTTAAGGCGGTATTTTGAGACCATAGATCGAAATTTACTTCTACAAAAATTACACGCTCTAGGCATTCAGGGCAGGGTGTATGATTGATTTCGCGACTACTTACATGATCGTAAACAAGTAACCAAAGTTATTAACGTTTGGTCGGAGCCCCTAGGTAGTAGCTTTGGAGTCCCCCAGGTGAGTGTACTTTGGCCACTTCCATTTCTTTGCTACATTAACCATAAGGGCTGCCTCGTTCATTGTGACTTCTTAAATCTTTTTGCTAATGACACTGTATTATCTGTTCCAAGTAAAAATCTGGATGATGCAATAAATCGGATGAATAACTAACTACCTTAATGAAACTTTGCACTACTTTAACACAAATAGAATGAAACATAACTCAGTCAGATAAATCAAAAGCTATGGTAATTGCAACGCCCTATAGACATAGTCATCAAATAAATATTAATTCAATGGGTTTATATATTAATAATGAAGAAATTGAATTTGTTAGAGAATTTAAGTACTTGGGTTTTATGATTGATGATAGTTTGTTATTCAATGTACATTTCCAGTATATTTATAGGAAGATATGGAAAAAACTTTATTTCTTCTCCAGAGTATCTCAAAAATTGTCCATGTCCTCGAATATAACAGTATCTATACAACGGTATCATACAACCACATTTTGACTTTTGTAGAAGCATACTGTAAAGGTATGGTTTCGCTGACGCGTCTGGCGGTGACGACTGATCGCTGCGTCTCTTGTAACCTCAGACGCAGCCGCCGGTCGCGACGACAAGTGGAATGGTTGGCGCGTCTCACCTCATCTCTTTTATTTACATCGAATATCTCGAAGTTTTAAAATAAATTTATAATATGTTCAAGGGGTATCTTAAGGTTTTTGTTCTTGTCTGATAACAAAGAAATAGATACCTAATACCTTCTCTCTTTACCGAAAAGGATATTTATTCTATGCATTTTCTTTTATTGGAAAATTCTCACAATGTTCACCCTCGTAGTCGTATATAGCATATTTTTATACTTCTTCAATGAATGGCTCATCCTGGGTTGTCGAAAATTTAACCATTATTCCAACAAAAATCGCTCAGCAGCGCGTCTAGACTGGTCTACCTAGCAGTCGAGTCGCGAACGCTCCGACTGGGTCGCTAGTGGCCGCGGCTGAAACGCTCCAGCGAAACCAAAAGTACATAATTGCATTAAAGCAGTCGTTCGCACGCAAACGCAGTCGCTAGTGGCTGACGCCAGACGCGCCAGCGAAACCATACCTTTATCATTTGATTTAAACAAAACAACAGCTCTCCAGAAACTGCAAAATAGAGGAATGAGAGTTATTCTCAAATGCAGCAGGTACACTGAAATCTAGCTGATGTTAAACAGTCTACAATGGCTTTCGGCACCAAAACGATTGTTTCGCAATGCGATGATCTTTATTTATAAGATATTGAATAATCTCCTTCCATCTTATTTTGAAGAATTAGTTGCATATAAGTATGATATACACAATCACTTAACTAGAAGTTATACAAATCGTAGTTTCCATGATCCAAGGTGCAACCTTTCAAGCACGAACAAAATGCTTTTTTATAAGGGAATAGATGATTACAACAAACTACCTCCTCTTGTTAAAAACTCTAGTTCCCTAAATGTATTTGAAAAACGGCTCGGTGATTATATTGGGGCCCTTTGATGAATAATTCATATCGAAGCATATTATAGCAACACAGGTAGGTACCTATTTGAATGATTCTCCAGAACTACAACCAATGGTCGATCAGCTCAATGACATCAGCAGAGATTATGCTGTTTTTTTCAAATGCAAGAAAATTCTCATCAGTAAAGAGATAAATTCAAACTGAAGGGTAACTTACGTCATCCTCTGAAAACATGGACATTGAATCAAAGTCTATAAATAAACTGAAAACTTCTTCGGTGACTCCATAACCGTGAAAGTTACATGAACTGACTGAGTAACTATTGAAGGATTCTTGAGATGAAAGTATACTTTGGATAGAACCAAACTTCAAACTCTGTTTAGCAATGGGAAATACGTCAATACTATTTGAAGCCGGACTGCTTGCTTGAGCCCAAGAGTGCCTTAAAAGATACCTAACAAAATAAGATATTTACATCTTCTCAGATAGCCAAGCAGCTCTCTGATAACTCTAGAATGGTCAAAAAATCGCTTCTTCGACTCAATTGCAACTCTAGGAAAGCCAGGAATAAAATTTTCATGTTTTTCTAGTTCAAATTCAGCACCACGAAGACCAAAAATGAGCATTTTGAATTACAATAAATCAACTTTAACTCTAGGATGGTCAGCAAATAGAGTTCACGACTCCAGTAGAGCCTCCTGGAATAGAATTTCTATTCTCAGTTGAATTTCAGCTCTATGAGGGTGTAAATGAGTTTCTCAAACCGCTCTATTTCAACTGTAACTCTAAATAGCCAGAAATCGGACTTCATTAGTTCAATTTCAACTCTAGGAGAGTTTCAAGAGGATCAAAAATGAGCCTTTTTAGCTCATCTTCAATTCTAGGATGGTCCGAAATTAGAGTTTGATATTCTAGGAGAGCCTGGCATAGTATTTTTATTATTCTCAGTGGAATTTCGGCTCTATGAGGGTGCAAAATGATTTTCTCAAACCGCTCTATTTCAACTGGAACTCTAAATAGCCCAGAAATTGGTGTTCTTTAGTTCAATTTTAATTCTAGGAAAACAAGGAATTTAATATTCATGGGTCAGTACTCCAAATTATTCAGCTCCAAGAGGAGGAAAAATGAGCCTTCTTCAATTCATCTTTAATTATGATGGCCCGAAATTAGAGTTAGATGCTCTAGGAGAGCCTGGAATAATTTTTTTATTATTCTCAGTTGAATTTCAGTTCTATGAGGGTGTAAAAGTTCTAGAACCTTCCAAGTGCACCTCGCTACTGGTTTGAGTAGGCAAAATAATCCTCAAAGAACGAATAAACACTGAGGTGCATCGAGGAGTAGATGACAACGAAGTAGCTTGTAAAATAAGGTCCAATAGCATGTTTAGTCGTTGTTACGACCCGGCGACTATTGTTGGGAACTATAAAGTTGCGGTTTCTAGTCACGGCAACGTTATTGCTGCAATTTTTCCTTAAATAGATACATACTTAATGACGAAGATTTTAACCTTAACTTAATGTCAACCTCATAACTAATCCCAAGTAAGCGAAATATGATAAATGCAACTTGCGTCCGTAATTACTCAGAGCTCTAGATTTCGGTACTTTTTATTTTGGCGGATACCGTGTTATTAAACAGTTCCATAACTTTGAAAGAATTTCAAAACTAGCATCGACGTCGTAGTAACTTTCAAATAAAGTAATAATAACTTTGAAGCGATACAAAGTAACAAGACAAAGTTACTATGGGACTATCAAATAGTACTTCGAAGTCTTTGCGAATTTAAATGTATTTTACATAGTAACAGTCCCGTTCCAGAAACTTGGAAAGCTACCTAGAAGTACTGAAACTAAATTCCAAGTTCTATTAAAAATAACTAATAGATTTACCAAAAAAGTCTAGATAATACCTAGTAGGAAAAACTAGAAAGGCAGTTTTCTAGTGATAATAACGTAACAACGACTTATTCGAAGATCAGATCTTAGTTTTCGCTACCTTAATCCTGCTTGGGGGAGCTACAACTTTTGTAGGCCCATAGCCACTCTGTGGGCTAATGGAAGAGCTACGTAGTGGAAGAATTGAACAGATAGAGATAAAACGAATAGGTATCTACTAACTCATTGGAGATAAGGAAAATCTGAACTTCTCGAAATGAACAGAAGAGACATTAGAACAGTCGCTGGCTTGCTCACCGTCACGTAAAATCTATTTAAAATAAAAGGCAAACTTCACGTGGGAACAAAGCATATGTCTTGGTTGAGGAATTTAGGACAATAGCATGGACAGACTCAAGAACTTTTGGGGAGAACTAGCGGATACTGCAACATATCCGGAAGCAAATAGTGAATACGCAGCTGGAGAAAAAAAAGATTTGCATCGGAACAGTGCCAAATGAACGAGATTACGTGAGGATACAGTGAAACATTGTAGAATATCAAATAAAGTAAGATAAAAAAATCCATCTGTTGCTAAAGCCAATAAAAAAGAACATGAAAATTCAAAGCGCTAATTCCGACATCGAACTTTTTAGAAATGACGTGACCCGCTAACCGGTTTAACTCTGAAATCTGATTCAAATAAAACTCTTTTTTGGGATAAATTGAAACGGCATGGCAGCAGCAGCAGGACGGGCCAACAATAGCGTACTTTTGAGGAGGGGCTGGGGCGGGAGAGACGCGAGGGAGAAAATGCTGGGGGAGAAACGAGGAATGCAATCGGGAGAATATCGTTCCGTATAACCCAGTTTGAGTTTCGATAATTGTGCAGTTGATGCTTTGGGAAATGCTCCTTAATTGGGAAACTTATTTATTATGGAACTTTGATGATTTAGTAGTGCTTGGAAACTTTAATAAATTAATTTTAGAAATGTTCACTGGCTTAAAAGAATTTTAGAATACTGGATAAACATGAAATAATATATGTACTCCATGACCAGATTTCACATTTTACAAATTGATAATTTGCCATGATTTCATTATATGCTCGCATATTGAGAGAATTTCAATTATCTATTTGTCATTTTAAATTACATAATAAAAATATTTTAATTTTTTTTTTCAGTAATTTCAATAACATTTACCACACGTCTGGAGCAGGAGGAGTCAGTCATCAACTATCAGCCACCCGACTGCTTGCTTCTCCAGACGGTTCCAGACATCCTCTGGACGGTCTGGATCATGCCTGGCCCTGGAACGACTCCTATTCGAGCTTACATCGCGATACTTACACTGAAGTTCGCACTCCGAGAACCCCGAATTGTACTTTTGGGTGTTTCCACGCTTGCAGAGCGAAAGTTAGAGATAGTATTGCAAAGAGAAAGGTAACTATTTGTATGTAGGAAATTTAACTTTTGGATAGTAAAGTAATTTACTTTACTTTGATTGTAGTCGTTTCATCAAAACGAACTCACAAAAAACCTCGTTAGAAGGATTATGAAAATAAATCATACATCCAACCTCAATAGGCATTGGCAAATATTGTCTTTGATATCCATTCCTTTATTTTTTCAACAAACACATATCCTGTGGGGAACAGATTGCCCACTAAGGACGTCATGTCAACCCTAAAGTCCTTATCCCTTATCCATTTTCAATCTATAAGCCAATAGACAAATTATTATTGACGGTTGTCGTTTCTTATTTCAGGTCGAACAAGGGCTAAAGTTATACAATCAGCACAAGCAACAACAGGCCGTGCGGAAATGGAAAAGCTCGCTGAAAGCTCTGAGGAAAAGGGAGGACAAATTCAACGTATTGGGTTATTTGTATCAAGCATATATGGATTGGGGGAAGTACAGGTAAGAATTTTGCTTACTTGTGTTGAGGCTCTCGCCCTTCAGCAATGCGGTAATTTATTTACAGCAAGGGAAAGAAAATCTCATTAGCTTCTACTCGTTAAAGGCGGAATTTTCAAAATGTTTGCTGCAGTGCGGTTTTATTATTTTTATTGCTGTCTATAGTTGGTGCAACATCATGTAATATCCTTGCAGATAATCAGGGAAAACAAGCTATAAAACTAAGCAGGACCACATCTATAAAAAATTTGAAAATTCTCTTCAGTAGAATAGCAGTCACGACCCTGCATCATCATCATCTTTGGAACATCAATCTTCATAAATTTAATTCTTTACATTTATTCAGCGTAGTTCTATTCGGGACCGTGTAAATCATTCCAGGGATCACTGTCACCTCAATGAAGATTTTAGAGGTTTTGCTCACCGGGACTATAATTTCAACTATAAAAATTGTTTTGCAATTCCTGTTGTATTTCACAATTTGGGGGGCTACGATACGCATTTCACAATCAGAGACATTTTACCTGCCAATAGTTTCACAGTTTTCGATAATGCAACCAATTTGATATTCCGATTCAGAGATTCCTTACCTTACGTTCCTTATGGGTTTCTCATTAGACGCTCTAGCTTCTAAAAACAAAAGCAATTGTACACAATTTCGAAAATCTTAGAAAGGAATTTCTTGAATTGGATGATGAAAGATTTAAATTGTAATTTTTTAAATGCAATTTTGAACCAAAAATACGCCTCCTAGGAAAAGTTTTGTTCAAGTTTTATTTCATTGCCTTGATCGTAGAGATCTTTTCTAAATATTCCCAAATTATCTTACATAAATCTCACATTCAACGATGAATATTCAGTGCTGACTCCTCAAAAAAACATAAATCAACTCCTACATTAAAAGCAAACATGTTTTATTAATGCATAATGTAATGTCTTTATCATCGCTCCCGTAAGAATCTTTTTTCCATTTTCCATATTCCATTTCTTTTCATAAAAAAAAAACTTTCATTCTGGAAATATAATGGTTTATTCCAGTAAAATTATGATGATCCATCTCCAACTTTACGTCCGTTTTTCATTTTCGGGTTTTATCCTACACGACACCGAGGATTGTATGCAAATTACACTCCCAGATTCCCCTAATGTTTCAAGTTTTAATAGAGCGGCAGCATTTCAAATTAAATGGCGCTGGCTTTAATAACGACTCGCCCTCCTTTTTTCCTACTGTAGTGCTGCCAACCATAGGGACCTTATTAAAAATTATATCACCCTGGTGGCTATTTTTTAAAAACTAAAGTAAAATTATTATCTACTCAATATACATATTTTTTGATCAATTGTAGAGCTAACACATTGGAATTTCCCTGATGTTTGTTTGGAAATCTTGTTAAAACTATCGGGGAACTTTCTGAATTCGAAAAATGTTATTTGACTTTCAAAACGCTCGATTACCGACCGTCGGTTTTAGTTTTATATTCCATTGAGAATTCAGAGGATCCGCATCAGATATAATATTTGCTGAAGAAAATTGCTTTTTTTGATAGTTTGATTTTCGATTAAAGAGAGAAAAAGAATAGGATTTTTTCAGTTAGTTATGTAAAATCAATTCTATGAATGAATATTTTTGGATTATCCCAGGCTCAGATAAAGGGAGAAGAAATAACTTTAACCACCCAAAAATAAGGGAAAACAAAATATATATGTGTCAAACGTTTTTCTTCGTTGTCCGACACCTAATTTTCATCCTCTTCTGTCGTCGAAATCCTCTGATGAGAAGAGAATTCTTTCACTCAGGGACTTTTGTATGGTCTTTTGCTATTCTAGTTTTGGTCTTCCTCGTTTTCTTCTATCTGTTGGTTACAAATGCAGCATTTTTTGGGCTACCAGGTAAGTTTTTTTCCTTCCAATGTCCTGAACTATCATGACTTCTATTTCCATTTGCTGTTGTATATGGTCGCTCCTCTCTCTTTGTGAGGTTTGTAAGGATTTTCTAATAGCATTTATTTCAACTGCTTCTACTTTCTTCCTTTGTCTGTCTGTTCTCGGCTTCACATATAAGGCTGGTCTTTATCATTGTCTCGTATATATTGAATTTTCTCTTCTTTGTTATTTCCTTGCTCTATAAGGTTCCATTTAGGCATCCTATCACTTTTTTAGCTTTAACTATCCGCTTTTCTTTTTCTTTCATATCTGTTCCGGTGTAGTCGAATGTTGTAAGTACCTAGATACTCATATACCTAACATTGCAGAATTTCCTGACTTTTGTCCAGTTCCAAGTTTCCATTCTGGGTGCCTACACTACACGTAGTTATTTTGTTTTATTTATATAAACTCTTTGGCCTCATCCTTGTTAATCTTCAGAGGCGGTGCGGTGTCTTTCTAGCGTTCGTCCTATGCGATCTGTGACATTTTTGATATAGGGAAGAAAGGCTCTCCCTACCACCTGCGCTGGTTCTTTATTAGTTGTGCGTTGTTGCTTCGATCTTATGGCTCTATTTATCTCCTGCTTGGAGTACCCATTTCCTTCATGGGCTGATTTTAGGTGTTGCATCTCGTCCTGAAGGTATCTGGGTTCACAAATCCGGATTGCTCTGTCAGATAGAGTTTTAATGACTCCTCTCTTTTGCCTAGGATGGTGATTGGATTCCTTGTTGAGGTATCTGTCCGTATGCGTCGGCTTCCTATATACTCTGTGTCCCAGTTTACCTGAGGGTAATCTTTCTAAAAGGACGTCAAGGAATGCAATTTTGTTATCCTTCTCAACTTCCATCGTAAACTGTATCCTGGGTTCTATTGAGTTTAGATGATTAAGGAAGTTTTCGAGCTCTGCCTCTCCATGGTTCCAATCAACAAATGTGTCATCTACATAGCGAAACCAACAAGTAGGTTTCTTTGTGGCCGTTCGCAGTGCCATTTGTTCGAATTGTTCCATGTAGAAGTTGGCGATAACCGGGCTGAGTGGACTTCCCATTGCGACTCCATCTGTCTGCTCAAAGAATTCATTTTGCCATTGAAAGTACGTAGTCGTCAGACAGTGATGAAATAAGTTTTTGATTTACTTCGGAAAAACATCTTTCAGATACTCTAAGGCCTGATTTACTGGTACCTTAGTAAACAATGAGTCGACATCAAAACTAACCAGAATGTCGTTTGGTAATAGAGTGATATCACTGATCTTTTTGATGAAATGGGTTGAGTCCTTGACATAAGAGCTAGATTGGCCAATCCGTGGTTGAAGGAGGGTGGTGAGGTATTTAGCTATGCTGTATGTGGGCGAATCTATTGCACTTACAATGGGCCTAAGTGGGTTGCCTGTTTTGTGAATCTGGTTTGGACGTGTTTACTTATCGCTTTATTTATAATAAATCCTACTCCAAAGTTACTGTTGTTTTCATTACCTTTGTAGTATAGCAGGTTACCGGAGTTCAATTTTATTCGATTTTCAGTTTTTCTTCGAGTTTCTGACAAGCCCACTATGTCCCACTTTATTCTTGTCAGCTCTTCCTCCAGTTCATGTATCTTTTCGTCAGTGTTCATTGATCTTATATTGTACGTTCCTATTATTAGGTTGATCAGTTTCTTTGATTTTTGTTGTGTTAGTCGTTTTCGTGGGGTTTTGATCTTTGTTGGGAGCGAATTTTTGCCTTCCCCAGATTCCGTGAGGCAGACCATAGAGGTGTGGGAGTCGGGAAATTTCCCACCCATCTGGGGATCAGTTCCATTTGTTTTAAAATTCACCATGGTATGTAAAGGGGGGTAATTGCAAGTAAAACACCACGCTTGCCAGGCGGGTTGGTGTGTTTTGATTCAGCCGCCCATTCTGGGTCAGACGCTGTTTTCAGCCGCTCACTCTGAGGCAGACGATGCAGTGCTAGTTTTGGTCCGCCCCGGGTATTTAATTTCCCCGGTACCACTCATATCTGAGAGGCATTCCCCTATCCGCCACCTGGGGAGGCGCCCGATGGAGGACTAGCAAACCTCACACGGGAAATAAACTACAATGGTACAATTTAAATTATAAAAAGATGTAAAAATGCAAATAAAACTGGAAATCAAAATACAAATAAAAATACCTGGCAAAAACAACTTACAACCCTCGATAGTCGCTACAAACTATCTTTATAACACTACTTCAGGCTTTACCAGTTCAGGGAACTCAAAACAAGATTTCTTGTGACTCAGACACGCACTGTATTGTTGAATTAAGTATTTTATTTCATTTTAGAGACGCCCTAGAATATGCTCACCGACAATTGTTCATATCAGAAGAGTTAGACAGCCCCAATATGAGAGCCGAGTCTTATTTAAACCTTGCTAGAGCTCATCAAAGACTTGGAGGCTTAGAACGGTTAGTTGGCAGTTTATGAAATTATTGTTTCAATAAGTTTTTTTTTAGAGCATTAGCTTATGCAAGACACTCGCTCTACAATGAATGTGAGCTCTGCGCAACCGCCGGTCACGTACACTTAACTGTAGGCTCCGTCTACTTAGAATTAGCCGGTTTTAATAAAGCTTTAGATAGTTTTCAACATGCTCATAGGATAGCTCAGGCTGTACACGATCCCGCGTTGGAACTCCAGGTGAATAACTATAGCAATTTTTGACTCAGTTCGTTATAGTTCCAATTTTCTAGGTTTATGTCGGTTTATCAGAGCTATTCAGTAGACTTCAAGATGCCGACAAAAGTGCTAAATATGCTTCCAAGGCGTACGATTTGTCTCGATCTCTACAGCTCGGCGATTTGAATTCGCGACATCATCGAGCTGCACTTCTTCAAATGGCCTCAGCTTTAAGAAAACAGGGCGAATTAGGAGACGCGCACGATTATTGTTCAGTAAGTTTTTGGGTTAAAATTAATTCTTATCTATTAACTCGCTTGGATTGTTAGTTCGTTACGCTCGGAAGCTGATGCACAATTAGATCGATCACTCAGCATTAATCTTTGTTATTTTCTTTTTAGGAAGCTACAAGACTGGCCTTAGTGTCTGGAGATCAGGCGACCTATGCCAAAAGTATTAGAATTATGGGTGATATTTATAGAAAAAAGTCTGATATTAATGTAAGATTTTTTTTCTATATTTGGTTGTGCTTTCTCAAAAGAGCTAGAAAGTGTTATAGATAGAGAGAGCTAAATTTATTGTAACAATAAGGGGTTTAAGATTTTGTTAGTTGTAAGGTTATTGTTTTATTTGTTGATACAGAAAGCCTTTCGTCAATACGAAGCCGCAATGGGTTCAGCCGCAGCCATGGGCGACAGAGTCATACAAATGGAGTCGATGGACGGTGCCGCTCGTTGCTTAGAAGCGTTACGTCTACAGCACAAAATATGCAACTGTAGACCTTTGGAATTCAATACGCGATTGTTGGAAGTAGCTGGATCAATTGGTGCTAAAGTAAGTATTGTGTTTACTTCTGGAATAAATGGTATTGTTGTGCCCTTCTCCTGGGTGCTTCATTTGATAGGAATCCTACTAAAAGCACCTCATTCAGCTTTAAAGCTTTTGTGACAGCAAGTAGGCTGGATGGTTCTATGAATTTTCTGTCAATATTGAACTCAGCACATCTATTTATTGCGTTTATTTTCGCCTGAAATATGTCTGGGTGTTTTCCCATTGTGTCGGAGAACTTGATTCCAGGCAAAAGTACTCCGGCTCCGGTCCCATTGTTTAGTTCTTGACCCATGAGTATATCATTTAATGGCGTTCTGCTGCATTGTAAGAATCGATGTGGTGTTTCCTTCCCATTCTTCTCTGCTTCTTATCAATGTGCACGCCAGGCGCAGTAGTTTGTTGAGAGCTGCTTGTATGTCCTCTGCTTCTCAACTTTCTTGAACCAGACTTGGAACCAGATTATCAATCCATATACTAGGGTTAGTCTTTACTATCATGGTGTACATTCATCTCAAGATTCCTGGATTGCATCCCCGTGTATTCGGATGTCCTTCATTCTAAGGAGTTCCCTCTTCTCACTTGACGGTGGTTTTTGATGGGCTTATCCCCAATCCCAGTCTTTGGCACCTTTCCTCCGTTGCTTTGAGTCCAGTCTGTATGAGTTCACACAGGGTACCCTCGAACTTTCCCCTTGCTATGATTGCGATTCCTAGTTCATCCACCAATAAGCTCCACATGAGGGGTACTCTTTTTATACTAACTCCCATCAAATTTGAACACATTTCAGTCATTTTAACAACGGTGCTTTGAGAATGTTGGTGGTCAAGAGCGTTGCATATATTTAAAATAAATGCATTTTCTCTGTAAGAGTAAAAGGACAATTAATTATTACCTACTGATGGATATTCTTCTAACAGCAGAAAATCCGGAAAAACTTGCACCAGCCATTTTTCAGTAGATTCTCAAATTCAGAATCCCGCACTTTCTAAAAATTTCATAAAAATATTGCGAATGTTATTTACTTTTCCACTTTAAATGATTTGCAAGTTCTAAAAATGGAAAAATAATGGTACATGGCAAGACAAATCTCTCATTCTATTATGGATACGAGATACGACTGTACCTATATATAAATTTCAAAATTGAATATTAACTTATTCGGAAAATATAATGAATGGGGCGCCTATAACGAGTCGATTATGATATTGATTTACAACTGCCTCGCATTTACAAATAGACTATAGTTCACTGAATATTACTAATTATTGTTGTAGTTACTTGTCCGAGCTGTCCGGATGCGCCTATCCCGAATCTATCACTCACTAGGAGACGAAAACAATAAGTTACACCACGAAAGAGTGGCGATGAGGCTCCAGCACGATTTAGACTTGAATTGTGCCTGTTGCGGATCGCCTTACGGTCTGGAATCTGATTCTTTAGAAGCGTTGCCTTGTGCTCACATTCTTCATGCTAGGTAATTAGAAGTTGATAAATACTATATTTTGGATTAAAAATTGATTAATTTACTTCTAGGTGCGCCTATGATTTGTTTCGTCGCAACAAAAAGAAAAAACGTTCGTGTCCGGAATGCGACCGGACAAGTTCGAGGTTGTACTTGAACTGTAACGATTACAACACTATGCAGTACAGTCCTGTACCTTTATCCGTTTGTTCTTCGGACAGTCATTGTACGTCACATCATGCGACTAGCTCAGTTTGAATTTGAACTTTTTGTCGATTTTTTTCAAACGTTAATATTGAATTTGGTCTGTCGGGAAATCTTTGTTCCGTTAATACAACGTTAGCGATTATTATCCCACACAGCACACTACACACAGTCTTAAAGACAAGTTTTTTAGGTCTGTATTGCGTCTGAAGGTCTGAAGACCAAGAAAAGACGTCTAGAAAACGTCCATCATCATCATCGTTATCATAAATCAGCCTTGTCCCGTCCACTGCTGGACATAGGCCTCTCTTAAACTAATCCATCTTGCTCGGTCTTGGGCATCTTAGATCCAATTTGTAGATATCCTCTTGTGAAGTCCCACTGAAAATCTAGGTAACTTTGAACGGATACTTTTTAGTAATCTGATTAGATCGCCTCTTCCAGTGCGGGTTCTTGCTACCTGAGCTGTACGCAGTTAGTTGGAATGCTAGCTCGGTGTTTTCCAAAGGAAATAAAAGAATCAGTTCTTCTTACTAAACTCTGACAATGGTTTATTGAACAAAATGGTAAATCTTGGTAAGGAAATGAAAGAAAAGCAAAGAATATACAGTAAGTTATTAACAATGTTTACTAAAATGAAATGAAAGAAGATACATACCGAGATTTAGAATGATAGGTAGTGAAATCAATGAGCGTCCTGTAGAGGAGGTTCCTTGATGGTATAAGTTACATGAGAAATTAAAGATTAAAAGATACAGAAAATGAAGACTAGGTTATAATTCTTAGTGGGTAAAAGTCACGGGCTTCCTCGACAAGGGAATGACAAAACGGCCTCGTTATTCAGGGTAAGATACATGTTGGAAAAGAGATTTGAGTTGTGAAGCTAACCCAACGGTTTTGTTTTTTACACAGGGGAGAAAATAAATAATAGACAGAAAACAGCAATCATGACGAATAAATTAAAATACTTGAAATTGAAACATTACCTAAGGTCAGCAGAAAGACGTCAACACTAAACACCACAACTTCGTTACAAAACTGAATCAATCTAGGAGGCTCACAGACCTATCTATATTGGCAGCTTGATGACGCTCTCGATGACGTTTTTGGGATTCTTATCGGTCGCAAAACATGTAATTTGTTCATGGAACCAGGAGTCGAGAGTCGTGTTTTAAGACACAGTCATCACACTCTTTCGGAAACCGACTGATAACCCTTGGCTCTTGACACGGTTTCGTCAGAAATTTAGCGACCTAATCTAGCTGGGTGGGAAAGCCAATTAATTGTATTACGAAGCAAAAAAAAAAAAAAGGATTTTTAGGCCAAAAATGCTACAGAACACTTTAGAACTTCAATAAGCCTTTTGGAATATTCAAAACACTTAAAATTCAATTTAGAATTTTTAAAAGCATTCTGTAACGTTTCAGAAAAATTTGGAAATTTCAGAACCATTTTAGAATGCTCCAAAATATTCAAAAACCTATTTACAATTTCCAAAAGTATTTTAGAACAATTCAGAAGTTTGAAACTCATTTAAGGACGGTTTGAATCACTCAAACACTAGATTCTCCAGAAACATTTTGAAAAGCGCCAGAATCTTAGGATTCTGGTAAAAGTTACAAAACGCCTTTCAGAAGGCGTTCAAGAGCGAATTTGAATCGCTGTAAAACTTTACACTCCGAAACAGTTAAAATCCACATAAGAATTTTCAGGAGCATTTTGGAACAATTTAGAAACTTCAGACAGAGCTATTTCAGAACAATTATAGGACTCAATTTAGAACTGGAATCCCTTCAGAACTCTTTTTAGGAGCTTCAATAGGAATTTAAAATACTTAAAAATCTATCAGAACAATTTGGACGTTATTGAAAAAATTCTAAAATGTTCCAGAACTCTTCAAGCCAAGTTAGAGCACTGTAGAACTTCAATAAGCCATTTAGACCGTTCCAAAACATTTTCCAGCAGCATTTTGAAAGGCTTCAGAACAATTTAAATCCTCAGAACAATTTCAGAGCGCCTAGCGCCTGGAATAGACATAAATTGACAGTTGCAAGATGAGAAATACCTACTTAGGAAACATTAGCAAGAAAATGTTCCTCTTTCAATTCAAATTCTTGAATTTTTATAATTTTTTACTATTCCAGGCTCTTGATTTTTCCTTATTTCTTAATTTATTCTAAATTCTCAACTTTCTTTTGGATCTTGAATTTTTTCATTCCAAGTTCTTGAATTCTCATTATTTCCTTATTTTAGAATTTCAGGCTCTGAATTTGTTTTTTAATTTTTGCTCCTGGCTCTTCTGATGTTTTTCTTTCAAAATGAAAACATACGTCAAAAAGATATCAATAATTTAAGAGCCTAGCGTTTGGAATAGACAAAAATTGAAATTTATATGAAATAAATAATAATAATGAAATTAGTCCTGAAGATGTGTTTAGGCAGATGTGTAAAAGATGTCTTTAATGTTGTTTGTGGACATCTTAGGGACGTCTTCATGTCTCTGTGCTGTTTGGGATTCTGATCCAAAAATCTCTTAATTTTCAGTTAAATTTTTTATAGTTTATTCAAACACTGTTTCCTCAGTTATTAGAATTAGCTCACTTAATTGCTGTGCAGAAACTAAATTTTATTATTTTATTAATTCAATAATAATTATTGAAAAGTGACTTGTTTTCTAGAAAACATGCAGCGTCTTTCAAGAGATAAAATAATATAAAAATTACATAAAAATGAGACTTCTCCATGCAAGTTTTAAAAAAAAAGTTATTAAATAATTTATATTATATTAGTGTTAAATAAATAAAAAGTTGTTAAAACAAAAATGCACTTCCAAACAAGCACCAAAAATACGGGTATTTTAGTAAATTCTCAAAATAGAAACGATGGAGTTTTATTTTTCTCTATCTATAAAAGCGTAAATGGTTGTTATAAACTAATATGTATATTGTTAAGTTTTTGGAATAATTTTTTGTAAATATTTATTAAAATACTTAAATTAGGAGTGTAGAAAAATAAAACTTCAATCCTATAATAATAAATTATTAAATTGAATTATCTTTACTTAATAAGTAAGTATAGATAATGTAAGAGTACATTTTTTGAAAAAAAGCTACTTTATAAACTAATCAACAATAATAAAACAGCTTCTTTTCTGTAAAATGACCCCTATATACTATATAATATTAATTCATAAAACTATAGACAAAATTATTGTTAGTAATAAGGGTGCGTAATTGAGTGAAATATGTAAATAAAAAATAAAAAAAACAAGAAGTGGGTACGGTGTCATTTTATAAATGAATTTAAAATTATTAAATTAAGGCGCGCGACACCGTCCTCCTTTTAATTATACTACTTGTACGAATAAATCAAGTCTTGAACAATCAACAATTAAAAATAAAATTAATTCAAATAAAAATATGAGATGTTATAGAATAATAAATTTTAAATGATAGATAGAGAGTCAGGATGCCTATGATGTTGATCTGGAAAAAATGATGGTATTAATATGGTGAATATATTTAATTTTGAAATACATGGTTTTGAGGCCAAATGAGTGATAGATGTTTTATTTATTAGTAAAAATAGGGGCAAAACCAAGGTTGTCGTAATGGGTGACTTGGGCTGAGTTCGGCTAGCCTAGTACTACTCATAACCGCGAATTGCAGATTTTTATTTCGCGGATTTTTTTCTATGACGCATCTGATGCGAAATTTGCATTATGTTTGGGCATACAGGATGACTTATTTATTTATTCATTTATTGACGGGTCAAGCCCAATAAAAATTAATAAAGTGTACAAAGTGAAACAACAAGTTAATAATAAAAGCAAAATGCCAATCAAAATAGATAAAGCAGAAACAAAGAATGCAATAAGTGCCAAACCATGATATTTAATTAAATTAAATAAAATCAAATTAAGTTAAATCAAACTAAATACAAAATCACAGAATAAAATAACAATAATAATTATAACTTGAGGCCAGTGACAGTTCTCGCAAATGGTTCATAGGGCCCAAAAAAATCTCTCCCAGCTCATTCTCATTACACAGTCTGAGGGAACGTGGAATGACGAGATAAGCATAGTTGGTTCTGTGAAATTGAAGATGAAAAGTTTGAGATGTGCGGGTGTTACGTAATGGGACATGTAGGGCTATTTTAGAAGTCAAGTAGGGGCAATCAATTGTGGAATTTAGGATTTTATATATCAGTTTGAGGTCTTCCTGCTTCCTTCTTGAGCAAAAGGTTGATAAGTTGAGTGCGTCACAAAGTGGCGCATAATGAAATTCCTCATCGTTAAAAATTTTTTAATTGAGATATCTGCAAAATTTACGCTGCACACCTACAAGGCGATGAATATGACAGGCATAGTTTGGACTTCAAGCAGATGCAGCATACTCAAGATGTGTACGAATAAATGAGAAGTACCTATAACGTTTTGATGGAGTTGATATTCGCAAATTCCCTTGTACTACGCTTCACAAACCCAAGCATCTGAAGTGCTTTGTTAACAATGGCATCGTTGTGTGAAGAGAAATCAAGATTGGAGCTCAGCAAAACACCCGGATCCCTGATCTGATTCACGCAGTCCAATGGCGTACCATTGATGTGATATATGCAGTCATTAAAAGTTCTAGACCTGTGGCATTCCATAACTTTACCCTTCGTAACATCAAGATCCATGCCATTAGTTTGACACCACTGAATTAACCTGTCAAGATCCTCTTGCAGTGCATGGCAGTCATCCAGGAGTACCGTAAAGTTGGGTGACTTTAGCCACTAGGGTTGACTTTGGCCATTTTTCAATATTTGTTCTATTCATGCACAATTACGTTATAATAATAATTATTTTCCAAATGTGATTTTTTAATGTTTCTATATAGATCATATTGGACGGAAAAAAAATTATTTACAGCGCACAATTTGTTTTTAAGTTCTTGAAAAAAAATAATAAGGCAAAATAATAAAAAACGAGCAATTTTTGCCTTCAAAAACTTTACTCATGGGTGAATAACTAGACGACATATAAGATTTTCAGGTGAAAGTGCGACTTCGCTGCAAAGTTAGGATTGCAGGTTGTACCGCTAGAGGGCGGCCAAAGTCGCCCAATAGAAAATCTTTATTATTGGTCTGACTTTGGGCACAACATGTTTAACATAAACCGAATTTTCGCGACGAACTACTTCCATGATTTCATGAACACAAACACTTTCGCGAGAAACTGATGACGTCATATTGAACATAGTTCGACAAAAGCATGGACGCAGCTTCTAGCCAGCGTTCAAACTCATGACGTCACAGACGAACGATGGTTCGTCCTTGGATGAACTACATTCGTCACGAAAATTCGGTTCTATTTAGTTGGTAATTAGGCACTAGCTGACGTCACACACATAACCCCACAATGGCGTTTTTGTCCCCCTATCCAAAGGGACGTTATATGATTACGTCACTTAGATCGACTTAGACGACGTTATATGATTACGTCACCTGATTAGAACCAGGTAGGGAAAATTTAAGAAGTGGATTTGAAAAAGCAGGAATTTACCCTATCAACAGAGTTAGTTCCTATTATTTTTTTACCAAGGAATGTATTAAAACCATTATAAAACATTTTGTTCTTTTTATTATAAAGAGATGGCTATGCTTATATGCCCAAAAGCCTCAAAAAACAACACAAACCTATTTGGCGATTATATCTATGGCCAAAGTCACCTATATCCTTGCGCGTCTTTACGTTTTCTAAATAAAACAATGTATGGCCAAAGTAACCTAACCTCGTTGTGTGACTTTGGCCACCCTATTTTTTTTTTTTTTAAATGGATTTAGAAAGCCTTTGGGTTTTTGCCAATTTCAAAGTTGAAAGTACTAATATAGACCTACAAAATAAGACCAAGAACAAAAATTTATAACATTTGGTTTAAAAGTTATGGCAATGTAAAGTTCAAAAGTGGACCAAAGTGACCCAACTTTACGGTAACGATTTTCAAAAATATTTTCAATCCATCGGCAAAAAGAAGAAATGAAGAGTGTAGGAAACAAGAATATATGTCATTGATGAACAAGTTGAAGAGCAGCAGGCCTAAATGCGAGCCTTGAGGATTACCTGATGACACCAATATTTGGGAAGAGGTAAAATTGTTAATATGAACTATCTGTGTCCTTTCAGTAAGATAGCTCCCCACCCATTGAACCAGAGAGCCAGAGATACCAAGTCTCTCTTGTTTTTTGATTAGGACTAAATGATTGCGACTCTGTCAAACGCCTTGGAGAAGTCGGTGTATATAACACAGCATATACAAAAACAATCAGCAGGCTAACTCGAGTGACAGCCCGTGTAATAAAGGAATTCATGGTCGGGACGTCAATAGCGGCCATTTTGGGATACGAGACAGGGCCTGATTAACAATAATTTAGGTTTTTTTCTTTCGTGCCACAGAGTCGTATTGGCTTTAAATAAACTAATTTATTATTACTTACATATAATAATATTTATAATTACTAATTTATTATTATTATTATTGAATAGGTATACAAGAATGATAACAGATAACACCATAAATGACAACATGAATATAAATAAAATTATTTTGAAAATCATAGCTGAAATTTCGCTCTACACCGCACGCGCCTATGACCTCCGTCAGAAATAAACAAATAAAATAAAATTTCGGCGCCCCTGCCGTTCTATGACAGGATGGTATCCCCTAATGGCGGCGTGCGCAGAAAAGATGCGCGTGAGAGTTAGCCTGCTGATTGCTTTTGTATATGCTGTGTATATAGTATGTACCTCCTCACCCCTCTCCAAGGCGCCTGTCAGAAAGTCAGAGTATGTGAGAAGATTAATTTCCGTTGATGACCTCTTTTTGAAGCCAAACTGCTCTGATATAATTTTTCTGCTTAAAGATGTTGATAAAAATTTTGTGACTATATTTTCAAAGATTTTAGGAATTGCACTGATGATGCAAATTGGGCGATAATTAGTCACATCTGATGAGTCACCGGATTTAAGAATCGGCACCACATAACTGGCTCTCCAATACTCAGAGAAACCGGCACGTTGGCGCTTTGATAAAGGACGACAGGACTGGACAGGACGCCCTACTCAAAGCCAAGCAATGTGGTGTCAGGATGGAGATTGGATGGGTGACCGCAGTAGTACGGGTCGGGTAGATCGCCCGCGCTGCCGCCAAATCATCTAATCTGCAAGTATGAATGGGAAGGAGTAGAGTCCATACAATGAGATACAAAAAGCCTTTAAGGCTGCAGTGTTGAGTATGGGCTCGAAAGGGTGAAAACAAACAACAAACAACAATACTCAGGGAAGAAGCCGTCCCTCAGGGACTTGTAAATTATATGCAAGGGTCTGGACAAAACAAAACAGCAGTTTTTCAGAAAGAGCGGCTGGATATGGTCAGGCCCTAGGGTCCTATTTTCGAATATTTTCGTATACGAAATTTGATACGATTTCGAATGCTCCCCATTCAATTTACATTGCTGTCAGTCAAATTTCGTGTACGAAATGTACTCGAATGGTTTCGAAAATCGCACCCCTGGTCCCTTGTTTGGGTCGATGTTATTTAGCTCCATGTAGATGTCAGAGATAGGAATAGTGAAATCAAATAAATTGTGAGGAGATAGAGAAATAGTTGATCTGGGAAATCCAATACTTGATCAGTATAAACTGAACCAAAGTATTCGGCAAAGAGTTCGGCAGCTTGGGGACCCATAGCTGCCGACTCACCATTATGTCTAAAACTTGAAGGAGGCTTACTCAAGTTTTGTATAGATTTGGTATAGGACCAGAACTCTTTTGGGTCACGCTACAATGCCGATTCAGTTTCATTTAGGTATTCACGAAAATTTTCCCGAGAGCAGATTGCACTGTGAGCGCAAGTCAGAAAATGCCAATCCGAAGGTAGGCGAGTTTGTTTATATTTTTTGTGTAAAAGCAACAAACTTGAATAAAACCTTGAGAACAATTTTGCCTACACAATTTTTTCTCGAGTGATAGGTCATGACTATTTCACGTAAGATTTTGAAAATAAATAGAATGCAAAAATATGAATAAAAACTTCAAATTAAAAATATCAGTTTGACAATGTCAAAAAATGGTCTCTGAAATACCATGTTGTTGGTATTGTCCAGGTAATAATATTGTCAGGTGAATACCGAATTTATTGTCGAATGTGATACCACAAGAGGTTTCAGGATTACCGGATAATACTTTCACCTGTCACAAAACGCGTTACGCAACAACACCACAACTCCGAAGGAGGAGTGGTGTTGCTGGTAACACGTTGAGTGTCGGGTAAAAGTATTAGGTAATCCTGAAACTCCGAGAGGTATTCAAAAGGTTATACAACGAACTAAACTTTGATACTTTATCAATGTTCATTATTATTAATAGTAAATGAACAATATTGCCACCAAGCGCGATAATCCCAAAAGGCTTGTCACTTCTTAAGCCTCTCGTGTCATATGGGAATAATGTACGTACAATGAGTTGTATAACCGGTGTAATACACTCTAGTGAAATAGTCGCTGTAATAATGACAAAAACACCAGTCCTTATGGGATTTTTTGAGTATGAAATAATTTGTCAATTTACATTTGCTTATTACCTATCCTGTCTTTTGGCCAAAACATTGTAAAATTGACCTTGTCAATTTTTTTGCGTTGAATAGTATTATTGTATTGAATCTGCGATTACTCATTATTAGTTCATACGAGGGTAGTTGAATTAAATTAATATATAGGTAACACTTTTACAGTGTTTTTTTATTTAAATAAATGTTAAAAGATAATTTTATTTGTTTATTGGGATTGAAAAAATGCATTAACTGCATTATGGTCTGGTTCCCTTGATTTTGCTAAATTTCCAAAAATTCAAAAAATTCTAGATTGTTACTACGTTATGGTACGCATTCAGTTTTTATGATACCTCCTTCATTTTTTCATTCTATTCAATTTTCCTCTCCTGAGTTTTTTCGATAGAATGTACCGTTTTTGACTTATTCACGATTTTTTCCGAAAAGTGCCGAAATTCAAGATGGCGGATTGTTTTTTCTAATGACGCAACAACCGGACGAATGGGAACTTTTGGTATGTTTACTACCAGGGATGTGCCGTAGACTATGAAATCTACTTTACGCGGTTTGTCTACTCGTTGTCTACGTATTGTTTACATCCACTTTTTTCCATGTAGACTATGTAAACTATGTAGACAATGTAGACAACAGAAAATTTGAAATTTGAGTAATTTTTTTGAAAGTTTGCATTGCATTAAATTTATATTAATCCTTTTCACGTGGCTCCGGTTTAACAAACCGCAACATACCGCTCAAATTCGAGTGGCATCGAAGATGTCACTTTCCTTGCGTTCGGTATTTTGCTCAAAGAGCAGAGCGTGCTGAGCGGAGCCGTAATCACGTGACCAGCGAGCGAACAGAGCAGTTGAACTCTGTATGAAAGTGCCAGAAATTTTAATAAACGAACGCGAATGAGGCTGCACCGAGTACACTTTTTAAATAAACGAACGGTAAAGTCAAGCTCGGAGAACTCAGACCAAAATAACGAACGCACGGTAAGTAACCGGGTTAGAAAACGGTATGGCATTTCTCTAACCGCCTCGGCGATATGGTTACGTCGGGCGGTTAGGAGAAAAAAAATAATAAACAACGGAGAGCGGGAAAGTTTGGAAAAGTGTAAAAAGTAAATAAAAAGTTGTGTTTTGTATATAATATTATATTTTATGAATTTGAAGCCCGAAAGCCGTTTTTCTTTGTATATAGCCTGATTTACGAGGCCCGTGCATTAGAAATTGTTCAGTTTGCAGGTGGATTAGCATAAATAAATACCACCTAGGGCCGGTTTCTCCCTAGCGGGCACATAATAGCGGGTCACCTCTGGGTTGGTTTTATTTTTAACTCCAGGGTAAGCGTGTGCAGTTGCAGTTGCTATGTTTACCCTGGAGTTATGCCTAACCAGGGGGTGCCTTGCTATAATCTTTGCTATTGGGAAACCGGCCCTAATCTACCTGCTGATGCACGGACTACGTAAATCACCCTGTATTATATTCAAAATATGTACCAGAGACGAGACAATCCCAGTTTACCTACTCGATAGGCTGTTGTAGACTGTAGGAAAGAGAACTTATAAACTTTAGATAAACTGGTTCTAGTAGTCTATCCACCCATGGTCCACATCTAAAGCATTGAACGAAAAGAAATTAAACTACCTACTTTTCACTTTTTAGCTTGCTGTTATAAAAAAGAATGAAATACTCGATAATTCCACAATTTTGAAAAAAAAACTTGCTTCCCATATTTCTTCACATTTAATTAATAATTGTAAATTGCTCACATTTAAGATAGTTTTGTTCATAGTAGACATAATAGGTAGGTCAGGGGTCAGAATTAACGGCACTGACCAACCCAACCTCATATCGAATTTAAAATAACATTTTTCTAACCATTCGTTTTCAAGTGGCATTTTCAGTAATGTCATCACTTGACATACCGCTTCTAACCGTTTTGTAACCTGGTTAGTTTAAACCGGAGCGACGTGAAAAGATGTAGGGCCGATACTTTTGCTCTCGATTAACGAATTTGATACGTTGTCAAAGTTTTGCATGGGCCAAGGTCTATAGGTATGATGTGGTTAGAGCACACTCTAAGCCCTGATTATTTTTAACGGCTGTTAAATGAGAGCAAAAGTACCGGCACGTATTGTATCAAATTAGACATTTATCTGCAGTCTAATTAACTTTACAAAGCAAAAAACAAAACAAAGCAAAAACATAAACATAACCTTAAAGGCCTGCCAACTGTCAAAAATTGTATACTTTACGCGTTGTCTAAAGTCTGCTTTTTTTTTAAAGATAATTTCCCAAGTCAAAAATTTAGTAACTATGTTGGCAACACAAGCCTTTTTTATATAAAAAATTTTGAAAGCATTGACAATATTACATTGTATTGCCTACATAATGTCATTTTGACTTTTATCTTTAAAAAAAAACAAGCTTTACATATTTTACACGTTGTCTACATAGATTCCATTTTAGTTTACATTCTCTACGCGTTGTTTACACCAGACGTAGACAATCTTTGTTTACGCGTAGATGCCCAATATGGATGGCCATCTCTGGTCGTAACAATGACGGAAGTGGATACGCTTTTTTCTCCTTAGGCCGGCTTCTCATGAGCGTAAACTTGACCTAAACTGGCGCAAATACTAAATACGTGAATTTTGGCGCAACATTCACATGGAGTGGAGAATTAACGCCGATGCGTATGTCAAAATCAATTTTTTTCCCTAAATTTTGAAATATTTCTTTGAATTTTGATTGTACAAATTTATATTTGTTTCTGCTTTAGTTCCTAATGGTTACAAATATGGACAGTGAATCACAAAAATCAAGAAAACGAAACGGTTGCAACCTTAACCTCTAAAAACGCAGAATTTTTACGCGAAAAGTTGAACTTTGCTCAACTTTTGGCGTATCTGCGGCAGAGTGTCAGCGTATCCAATATGGCGGGATTTTGGCCAATCAGAATTCTGCATTCAGGTACGCTGTCACGCCATAAATGTCAAATTCCGCTCATGAGAAGCCGCCCTAAGGTACGGTTTGTTAGGATAGTACGCGACGCAAAACTGACAACGTAAACGTCGTCATTGGTTAGGTTTGACGTACACTCGTTTTTTGACGCTCTATGACGCTGACGCTGACGTCAGGTACCGGGTGTACGTCATACCTGGAACCAATGACGACGTTTACGTTGTCAGTTGTGCGTCGCGTACCCTGGGTTTTTATTCTCATCAAATTTTACCGATGGATCCATCATTCTATGGCCGTCATTGTCATTTTCCATTCACTAAACAAAGATAGCTTACTCATCAGTGAAGTCACCGATGAGAATAAAAACGAGGGGTACTTTCCTAACAAACCGTACCTTTATGTCGCCTCCTTATTAATCTACCTCAATGCTAGCGCATGATACTCCTATCAATGTCCTATCAACATGCTATCTCTTTCTAACAATAACAAATAAATTTGAAAAATGTATGACCGGTAGTAGAAAACTGTTTTTTTTTGTCCGCCATCTATGGGAAATAAAACGTATCACCTTTGACAAATTATTAAAGTGAGGTTTGAGCCTTGGGGTTTGTTTTTGTATTGTGTGATTATTTTTCGCATATTATTTCTGCTATAATTATTATAAAACCATGTCTAAACCAACTGTTTACGATTCCCATAGCGAGGGTCCCGGTTTTGTTGGAATAAGGTTTTGCCAAGAATGGTAAGTTTTTTTTCCTCACTCTACTTTTTACGAAAAGAAGCGGATTTTCCTTGGCTGGTAACATGTGCTCAAGTTTCCTGCCCTTTAAGGCTTTCCTCATCACCTATTTTCATAGAGGTAAGTTGTTGGTTGTTCTAGTAATATTAGATGATTAAAAATTTCAGCAACAACATGTTGTACCCGAAAGAAGACAAAGAAAACAAGATTTTGCTGTATGCCTGCAGAAATTGCGATTATAAGCAACATGCAGATTCCAAGTGCATTTATGTTAACAAAATTATGCACGAAATTGAGTAAGTTGTATCTGACTACCCTACCCATCCCATAACATGATTTATTTAATTAAATGTTTGTTTTAGTGAATTAACTCATATTGTCTCAGATGTTATATCTGATCCCACTTTACCAAGAACTGAGGATCATCATTGTCCTGTTTGCCAGCACAGGTAAAGATATGTTGTTTCTATTTTCTTTTCTGTATTCTAATTATTTGAGCAATAAAAAGACAGGACCGGTATTCTCGTAAAACAGCTCAAAAACGATACGTTTTGGAAGCGCTAAGCGAATCGCCTGGTATGCGTCTCGTACAGCAGTTTCGCTAAGCGTCCAGTTTCGGTATTCTCGTTGCTAAGCGCAGCGTCTAGATTGAATTCGCATAGCACAATTTGGCATCGCCAAATTTGCCAGTGTTCCGAATATAGAATTTGACAATTTCAAATGAAAGATTGTCAAATAGTCGAATGATATGTTTGTTGGCTTTTACTGAAGAAGCTTATAAATCTGTGTGAAGGCATGTCATTGGTTCCAATGGCTAAGAAGGTAATTTCTCCACAGCAAAAATCACTCTTGATTTCATACCTGGAAGAGCATCCACAATTAGTGAAACAAAAACAAGGAAATCAGCATACCAATGCCGACGCAACAAAGTTATGGCAGGAGCTAAGTGGAAAATTAAATTCTATTCCAGGGGCCATGAAAGGATGGAAAGAATGGAGAAAGGTAAAAATATATTGTGCTTCTGAGTGAATTTTTTTCTTGCATGTAGATATCCACACAAATCTTTTTTTTAAATTAGACTTGGAGTGATCTGAAAACCCGAACAAAGAAAAAAGTTTCGGAGAACAAGAAAGAGCATAATAAAACAGGTGGAGGGCCTCACACAGGCGACATAATCGATGCAGAGGATGACAAAATTTTGGACATCATTGGTAAGTATTGAAGTGTTGTTCAATAAGAGTGGATTGTTTGATTCGTAATATAAAAAAATAATTTTTGAAAATAATACCTATTCGGAGCTACGACTATCAGGAGTTTACCAAACTCACTCAGAATTAAAGCAGCTTTTCAATTTATGTGTAAATTTTTTTCCAAAAAACGAGGTACCTACTAGGTAATAGTTTGCTTTTATTTCAGGAGGAGATATTTTAATTACTGGTCTTGATGCTCCTGAGGTGGGGCTACCTTTACCAGAAAATAAAAATTTTGATATAAGTAAATGGGATTACTTAAAAAACACCCAAGAAAGTGAAGAAAATGAAGACATGGTTGTAATGGCTAACAAAAGACCATCAACATCAAAAGGTAATGGGTCCTATGATTGAACGTTTACGTTATCCGTAACGTACATGTTAGGCCGAGTTTTAACAGTAACGATGCAAGTTCGTATGATGGAAAGTTTTTCATACCAGATTACTGTTATTTCCCGCCTGTTATGTACTAATTTAACATATCTCCTCAACAGCTCCAAATAACATGCCGTTAAGTGCTTAACGTACATGTTACCAATCTTTTTTTATTTTATTTTTTGAATGACGGGGTAATTAATTCACATAATACAAGAAGAGAATCAAACTAGGAGGTACCTAGGTTATAAGATTCATTACTATTTTATATTAATCAATTATGAGGTACAAAACTTTAATATTAATTCACTATTTGAGGAGTGAATTGGACACTCAAAGAATGCATACCAGGGGTCAACTCCTGAAAAGTTTTTATTACTAAATATACTAGACTTCCAAAAGTTCCAAAAGAATCGGTGCAGTATTATAATTGCTTCATTTCAATATTCCTCAAAGACTAAGGATTTCATCCATTCCAATTGAACTGAAGGTCTAAATTCTAAAAATTTATTCTGAATAATTCTTAGTAGGTAGTTGGAACTGTTTTTTATTTTATATAAGACAATGGTTCTAGTAGTGCTTTTATTTTCGTGTACAAATGATGTCCACTCATCAGGAGGTGTTTTTTCGCGTCTCGAAGTTTTGAAAAAAATTTCAATTTCAATTTTGAAACCAAAGTGAAGCTAGGTACAAATACTTTCTTCCATTCCTAACAGCCAGCTTAACATTTTCTGTTATCGATTTCGTCAATCATACCGATATAACATTCACTGTTATTTTATATGTTATATATTCCCTGTTAGCCTAACATAACAGGTTTATGTTAATTTTAACGTAAACGTTCAATCATAGGACCCTTTATTTCGACAGTTAGACCTCCTGTGAAGGCATGTGGCACATCAAGGAATCGCCCTAGGCAGGCCACCAATAGGGCTGCTTTTGATTTAGTTAAAGCTACAGAAGCAACTAATACAATTCATGAGAAATATTATGCTCGTAAACTAGAAATAATGGAAGAAAGCCTCCAAATACAGAAGAAACATCTTGAAATCCAACAAAGGATTGCAGATGGACTAGAAAGGTTTTTGGAGATAAAAAAGCTAGAGTGAGTGTATTGTCTCAAATAATAAGTTTTGTTATGTTCCTGAACGTATCTTAGGTTAGAAGGATAATAACGCTTAAGGTCAATGGTGTATTTCCCGAGGGCCTCTGGACCAAGGGATATACGTTGACGGAAAGCGTTATTATCTTTAATAGGTATGTTATGTCAACTGTTGTCTTTTTTTAATGTTTAATGGCAGTGGCGGCTCGTGGTATAACATATTGGGGGTGCACATAATTTGTAATTCATAATAAATGCCGAAAGGGGGATGCCCGTTGTTTTGCTGGCGCATTTGGCCACTAATTTTTTAAATTAATACTTTACAGGTAGAATGTTAAAATTTGAAGAATGATAAAATTAAATTTAAAGTTGTTTGATATTAATTTGGGAGTGCACGTGCACATGTGCTCTTATGGAGGAACCGCCACTGTTTAATGGGCAATCAAATAGTATCTATAATTATTTAATGTTTGTTACTTATAGGAAGTTAAGTACCTACTTATTTTGTTATTTGAGGTTTATTATTAAAAACAAAAACCAAATATACATGGGAAGTTACTTATTTTTGAATAAAATACTCATTGTTCAGAAAGGTTTTTTATTTATAAACAATTTTTCAAATTATTATTATTTTATCTTGTACAGAAGAATATTATGCACAGGGCCAAAACTTGAAAAAACTTATTATCCACATTCTGTGCCAATATCCTATTGCTAACCGATACATATTGGTTGTTGAGTGGAACAATGGCCAAAAGGTTACTACGCCAGTCGGAAAACTTTTCAATCTTCAAATCAAATCAAACCACGCTTTATTGTTTAAAGTTCATGAACAAAGCTAATATGAATAACACAAACGATACAGAAATAAAAAAATAAAAATACATATCAATATATGCTATAAAATATAGGTTAATGTCTAAAAAATAAATAAATTAGAACATAACAATAAAAATCTGAAATTTGAAAACATTCCATCGAACAGCTAAGACTAGGTAAAGAGGCCGAAGAGCAAGAACAGCCATAATATGTAAAACGGGGTATCATCATCAAAAAAATTCGTTAAAACTAATGTTTTTTGCGTCAGAAATTTTTTCACTCCTATCCTGAAAAGATTTTTTATAATTTTAGTTTGTTGACCTGTCTGTGAATAAAATTTAAAATAAAAATATTTATTAAAAGAAATATTTCATAATTTCACCTGTTTTAAAAATAGTTCCTGGCCAAAAAATTTCTGATTTGTCGGCCACGTGCCGAAAAGTTATTTTCAATCAAATTATTGGCCCTTTCTGCTATTAATGCATTGTCAAAATCAATTTCATCGTTTATGTGCTCCCCATCATCGTTATAAAGTGGAATATTATTCTCCAGACACAAGTTATGTAAAACAGCACAAGCTGTAATTATTTTTGATGCAGTTATTGGGGCATAGTGTAACACTCTATCTCTAAGGAGACACCTAAATCGATTCTTTAGTAGGCCAAAACATCTTTCAATTAGAACTCTTATTTGACGCATTTGTTGATTAAACCTGTGTTCTGGCGTTCCGGGAGCTGGCTCTGGCAAGTATGGATTTATTAGCCATGGTCGCAGAGGATACCCAGAGTCACCTTAAAAAATTGTTTCATTAAAAGAAAATTATATTATTAGAGGATACTTCGAAGTGGGGGTGCATAGCACCCAATGAGCTTAAAAGTTTAAAGAGAAGGATCACATCACACCTATTCTGACGGTAAAAAGTATCTATCTATCCAAGTTATAGAACGCCTACCTAATAGATAGAAACTACCCATTTGATCTTCGGGTAGAGTCCTCAAAAATTGTTCCACATTGGAATTCCTCCAAATAAAACTATCATGGGTACTTCCAGGATAGCGTGCATTAACATTCATGATTTTCAGTTTTTCATCGCAGATCTAAAACATATAAAGGACTGGTGACATTTAAGTTTGTATAAATAAGATCTTGATGTCTATGTGTGTTTCATTTGTGTGCACTGTCAAATCAAGTTAATTTTTGCAGCTTACCATCTGAACATTCAAAGAATGAAAGTTCTTTCGATTGACATAAACATGTTCATTCTCCACCGGAGTAACAATGGCTATGTGAGTGCAATCTACAACACCCACAATGCCTGGCACATTAGTTTCAGCAAAAAATCTGGAAAACATTATGCACTATAATATTAACAATAATTAAATTATATAAAATTTAATGTCCATCTGGTATATTATTCGAGAGATAATGACAATATGTCAAAGTCAGTTTAATCCAAAATAATTCCCTAGGGCGTTATTTTTGAATTACGCCCTAGGGCGTTATGTTTTTTTTTTGCAGGTACTTGATATGTTTTAGAATAGTTTATTCAAAATTCATTCAAAATTTTCTCGTTGACGTATTAAGGATATTAACGCTTGAGGTCAATGGTGTATTTATACGTTAATATCCTTATAATAAATACCCTTGATACCTTAATAACTATAAAAAAAGTTTTGTTCGGCTTTCGGTTCATATCAAGGTTTTAGGCTAATTTTAATTTTTTTTTTATCACAGCACACAACCACTTCAAAAAAAAAAACTATCAACTTCGTTTTAGAAGAATGTGCGCAGAATAGTATAGCAGAATAGGGTATCGAAATATGGGTACCTTTCCCTGGTATTCCTCAATTCCTCTAGGGTATTGGGATAGTGACAAAATCTGTTAAGAATTGCGGGCTGGTTGAGGGCATCTAACACCTTATGTAAACTGCGGGAAACCGATGGTTGGCTCATTGTAATTGAGTGGTTTCGGCCAACATCTAGCTGATAGCTACCCGCTGCAAAAAATCTCAGCGAAGATAAAATCTAAAAAAAAAAGGATGTCAGTATTAATGTTATAAGTTCATTAAACAGAAAGAGGTAATTAATTATTTGCAATTGGTGAAGAACCCGAACTATTGCTGATGCTTACCTTGATACGGTTGCTGATTGCATCCACCCTATTTCTTTGAGGAAGGAATGGTTCCAAAAGCTCCTCTAAATTTTCCACATCTTGTTTTCTCAGTCTATATAACTTTATAAAATTGAAATCGGAAAATTCAAATGGATCATCGGGAATGAACCGTTGTCTTTCCATTTCATTTTCTAAATTGTCCAAGAGGATTCCCCCAATATATGGAAATGCCATGTTTACCGGAATCGGATATGACAATTTGCTCGAGCACTTTTATTGGCACAAAAATTCTTATTCGGAATTAAAAGAATAATGGTCAGCGCTCAGAGTGACAATGACAAAACATGAACAGACAATTATATGGGTTATGATTTTCCAGGCGAACAGCAAAACAGCAACCAAAAGGTAGCTGTTTTCAAAACGCTTAGCGCTTTAGAAAAACGCATAGCGTTAAATAAACGAGAATACCTATCACAGGTTTTTAGACAGGTGCTGAGCGACTGTCACCTCAAAAGTGGTTAGCGAGTCAAAAACGCTGAGCGTTTTTGACTACGAGAATACCGGGCCAGATACTTTTACCTAAATAGCAATATGAGAGAAACTTTATGATAAAAATCTAAATATTTTTATTTGAATTAATTAGTTAGGTACCTAATTAGTAGGGATGCAGTATTGTATTAGGTAAGCTGGTAAGGTAATAACTATCACTTATTAAATTAAGTATTGTGTAAGGTACACTAAGATTTTCTCTTTCTTTGTTTTTCCTTAAATTATTTGTGTTTTTATTAATCTCTACCATTTCAGGGAAAGATCTTTTATATAAATTATTTTCAACTTGTATAATTTTAGGGGGCCAATCACCTATTAAAATTTGTACAACTATTACCTCGACTATTACCTTTTTTAGGAAATAATCTCTGGTAATAATACTGGTTCGAACGATGTAGCTCAGAGTTGTCAAGGAGCTCAATAGCTTCCACATTGACATGCCGATGTAGTCTATAGTCTATCTTTATGGATTTTTGTGAACTTTCTTAGAGTTTCTGTTACATTTTCAATATTTAGGTCCTGATGTAGTTCACTATTTCGAACGTACCAAAGTGCATTTGCATTAACAATGTTTCTTGGTACTTTATTTTGGAAGCTTTGTATAACTTGTATGTTACTCTCTTTAGTACAACGTACAACGCCAAAGTTGAATACCATATGCCCATACTGGTTTCAGTATTTGCCTATAAAGCAGTAACTTGTTACATATGGTTAAATTTGACTTTCATCCAATTAACCAGTACATTTTTCTATACTTTGATTCAAGATCTTCCTTTTCTTTCTTAAAATGAGCTTTCCAGTGCAATTTCGCATCAAGTGTCATGCCAAGATATTTTGCTTGATTTGAATATGGAATATGCTTGATATATTTGCTCCTATTGAAGTACCCAAAATTTGTTTATATAAAATGTATTAGATACATAGGTACATATTACATTTGCATTATGTTGCATCCAAAATATAATTAAATTAATGATTTTCAGAAAATAATCATTTGGAATACTTACACATTTGGTAATTTTTCAATGTTAGTCCATCTTATATTAATACAGTAGACTCACGCTAGTGTGAACACATGGTTCTGTGAACCTCCCAGTAGTATGAACAGCCAGAATGAATACATTATATATTCTGTAGTGTGAACTTTTGAGAATATCGTTAGTATGAACAATGTGTTTGACCACAAATTTAACCGTTTTCTGCCTACTTGTTGTTTTCATCGGTTGTTTCCGTCCAATTCTGGGGTTCCCCAAATCTTGCGAGACAAAGAATTCACAGATATGTTGAGTTACTGCATTTACTCTAATGTGAATTACACAAGTGGTAGCGCGTCAAGAGCACGTTCAAAAGTCTATAAGTTTTTTAGTTCGTGGTTTGTTGTGGTTAAACAGTTTTGTGAAAATGGCGAGTTGGCAGTAGCATATATTGGCGTTAATGACACAAAAAGCCTGAGAAACTTTCACGACAAAGTAGATAGTCATCCAATGGTCAGCTAGAACCATTCAGACAAAAAATTACATCTCCCTTTAATCGATAAACTGGAAAAATTTACCTAATGGATATGTTTGCCAGTTCCTATTGTATTAATTTTTCTTGAATTTTAAGTCTAGAGACCATTGCTGACAGTATTTTGTATTTTTAGGTAGACCTTCAATGGTGTGAATGTCTCGATAATATGAACATGTCCGGTTTTTTTGTGTTCACACTAGCGCGAGTCTACTGTACCTCGATTAATACTATCAGCAACTGGTAGTCTTTAAAATTAAGGAGAAGTTTGATTATAAATTGTCAATGTTTAAGGCAATATTTTCTGGGTTTTATTTTTTTGATTTTAGTTCAGTTAACAATTTTGGTATATAAATATCGAGATAAATATCTTCTTCTCTAGAGATAGATTAATATTACTAAGATTCTTTATCCAATTATCCTCAACTTAATATCATTCAATAATAGTGTAGTCAAATTAGCAGATCCTGGAATCCAATTTGTTACTGGTTATTGCTTTTTATTGCCGTTTGTAGAAAAAATATTGTATGATATTTGTGTTAAAAATATTA